GAGAGAGTTACAGGAGAGAAGAATGTCCAGTCCAGTTCATTCCTAGATAAAAGTAGACCGTACTGAAACAGAATGAGAGAAAAAAAAAATGCGTCTAGTGTCTTGTGTCTGTTCTGACCGAGTTACTGTGGTATTTATGATGCACTAATTTGTTGTCCAGCTCTTGTCATTTAAAAAGCAGAGGAGGTTTTTATGTTTAGCGTAAACAGTCTGCTGTTTCCATAGCATTTTTGCTTTGTTTGAAGCAATAAAGCATACTAACCCTCTATTTCTTTCAGAATTACTTTACAGTATTTATAGTCGAACGTCTTGGCCTGAGCCCCGCCCTGCTGTTGAAGTACCTTGGCATTCACTTTCAGCACATCACATCACAGAGATGGTGGTGCTAAAATCCTTTCAGTTTAAGCAGGATGATCTCTTGGTGGCTTTATCTTTTTTTCTGAAGCTTTCTTTTGACCTGAACTTGTTAAACAATTGCTTGTAAAGAGAGAGAGAGTGTGTGTGTGTCTGTATAGTTACATGTACCTGTGAATGTGTGTTTATATTACGTTTTAAACAATGAAAATTTAAGCATTTGCTCAGCATCATTAGTCATTAGGGAAATGCAAATCGGTACCACCTCACACCCATTACGATGGCTATAATAAAAAGATGGATCAAAACAAGTGTTGTTGAGGATGTGGAGAAATTGGAACCCTCATACACTGCTGGAGGGAATGTAAAATGGTGCAGAAATTTGGAAAACAGTTTGGTAGTTCCTCAAAAAGTTAAACATAGAGTTATCATGTGACCCAGCAATTTTACTCCTAGGTATATGCCCTAGAGAACTGAAAACATACATTCCTACAAAGAAAATTGTGCTTGAATGTTCATAGCAGTGTTATTCATTATAACCAAAAAGTGGAAACAGCCCCAATGTCCAGCAACTGGTGAATGGGTTAATACAGTGTGGTATATCTATACAATGAAATATTATTTGGCCATAAAAAGGGACTAAGTGTTGATAGTTGCTACAATGTGGATGAAACTTGAAAACATTATGCTAAGTGAAAGAAGCCAGACACTAAAGGCTACGTGTTGTGTGAATCCATTTGTATGAAATGTTCAAAATAAGCAAATCTAAAGAGAAAATAGATTAGTGACTGCCAGGCACTCGGAGGAGGGAACATCAGGGAGTGACTGCTAGTGGGTACAGGGTTTCATTTTGGAGTAACGAAAATATTCTGGAATTAGATAATGGTGATGATTTCACAACTTGGTGAATATACTAAAACCCACTAAATTGTACACTTTAAGAGAGTGAATTTTATGGCATGTGAATTATATCTCCATTTTAAAAAACCAAAGCTTAAGCATCTGGAAAGTCAAGCATTAGCAAAATACTGAACCTGAGTGATAGTAGCCCTTGGATAAATACTTGCCAGATGACTTGAACAAACCTACATTCTCTCCTATGATTTTTTAAAGAGAATATACTTAAAATATATGGAACTGTTAAATGAAATTTAGCAGAGGCACAAAAATAGTAGCAATGACATAGCATTAATCTCTCTCAAATATGCAGCAATAAACTTTTTCTTGAGTCGTAAAGAAAAACCTCACAATTTAGAAAGATCTCAGTGAATAATTTTAAGATTTGTTGCACTTTTAGTGATGTGGAAGGCTGTTTTCAGAATAGCATTCAATTACTCCCATTAAGACTCTGTAGTTGCTTTCTTTCTTGAGAGATTAATTTGGTTACTATTAGATGCTAAATTGGGAATATAATTTATAACTGGTATATATTCTTGTGATTTAATGGTCTGAATTCTTCTTGAACATTTAAACTGAAAGGTGAGATAGCTACCTCTGTGGTAAATGATAATGATGAAATATTTTCTGCTTTGTAAGTAGAATGGAAAATCATCATAATTAGTTTCTTTTCCCTTTTCATAAAAGTCTGTTCTCTCCCCCATGAGACACAGTGGTTTCCCAAGTTATGAATTCAGTTTCTTTTGTTTTTCTAGCCACTTAATTTTGCTTATTACATACCTGTTTAATTTTTAATTTCTCATTAAAAGTAAATATGCTAATTTTCCTATCAATATTTCAAGGTCTTCCATTTTTCTCTGTCACAACCTTGATGTAGTGCTGTCTGGTGTGTATTACTACATAATTAAAATGCCATATTTTTTCAAATAGTTCTGGCAAAGCAACCTGTTAATACATTTTAAATGGATCAGAGGTTTATTTCTGTAAAGTTGGGATAAATGTTATGAACACTGTTCTGGAACTAAAAACGGTAAGTAGAATAATATGTATAGTACTGTGGGGAAGGTTGTTACAACTGTAGGAAAATGACTTAGAGATGAATGTATCATAGGTATTCAGACCTTTTCAGTCAGTCTCATTTGTTGTATAATGTAGATACATTAAAAAAGTACTCATCTTGAGTCATTGGGTAAATACATCTTAAGCACTGACTATATGTCAGTCACTGTGTTAGGCTCTGGGTATTCAGTGGTGATCAAAACGGGTAAGGTAATTCTGCCCTCAGACGTTTATGCTGTAATCATGGAGCTCCTGATATGGGAGCACCCAGGTGGCTGGAGCATAGTGACTGAGGCAGAGACCAGCCTGAGATGAGACCAAAGAGGTGGGTAATCACAGGCGTGTACTCCAGCTGTAACAATAAGGTGTTGAAGGCTTACTGCAGGGGAATGCAACTTCAGTTTTATAAAGATTATTCTGTGCAGTGGTAGACAATGATTGATGGGTCTAAGAGGAGAAAAGAGAATCCATTTAGGGAGTTTGTTGTAATCCAGGCAAATTATGGTGGTGGCGAGACTAGAGTAGTGCCCCTAGAACTAAAAAGAAGATTGATAACAAACTGGAAGAATTAACAAAATGTGATGGCTGGGGTTTGAGGGTAGTAAGGTGATGAGGGTGAAGGATGTGTGAAGGATGTTTTCTGTCTCTCTGACTTGAACAACTGGGTAGCTTGAGATTCTGTGTCCTGAGATGGGGAACGTGAGAGGAGGGGCAGAACTGGAAGGGACAGTCCAGTGTTCAGTTGGGGGCACGTTGAGTGAGGGGGTAGGAAGTGTTTATGAGGTGGGGGGGTGCAAGGTCTAGCTTGTTCTTCCTGAGCTGTGATAACTGGTTTACAGTCTGGTTACAAGTTAGAATAAATAACTCACTTCCCAAACCAAACACATTATACTGGTTTCCAGTTCATAGAAAAGTTGTTGTAATTGATCATACTTCTGTGGTCTCTCTTACAGCCCCGCACTCTAAAAATTTCTCTTTATTTGATGAGCAGGTCAAAACAATGTTCACTTTATAGCCAGTGCTCACTTATTGTGATCTGTTCTCGTTGGTGTTCCTAGAGCTGTACCTGCCTGGCCCACAAGGTCGAGTTACAAAATTGACCTTCACATGGACCAATTGGATTGTCTAAGTTACCTTGTTACAGATTGCATCCCTCATCTTGGACCGCTGACTTGATAACTTGGTAGGAAGGAAACTGGGCTAGAGTTGGTATGAAGTAGTGCCGATTTATCTTTGCTACTTAAAACTCAAAACTTATGTTGTGCCTACATCTGTGCTCCAGTGGCCTTTGTTTGCGAAAGTGAAGAACAACGTAGATTATGCACTTCTCACATTGGCCTTGGTTATGTCCTCACGTTCAGTATACATTTGTGGAGAATGTGAACCACATTATGTTATTCATCTTTTGATTTTCTGCAGCCAAAGTTTTTATGTCCTTCAATAAATAGAAATGGGCCATTTAGGGGCTGGGATTGTGTTTCATTCTTTGCTATACCCCTAGTGCCTGGCACAGGGACTGGCCTGCATTTGGTGCTTCATCTTTATTAAATAAATGAGTGAAAGAAGAAATGGCTGAATAGTCAGTCTGTGAGAAGGGGAGATAATTCAGTTTTCAGAAGCCAAGAGATCGAGCAGACTCTATTATTCCTATAAGATTATGTCTCTGCAACCTACTGAGAAATCAAGACTGAAAAATATAAATTTGGGAATCATCCTGATGAAAAGAATTATGGAGACCATGAGAGTGGAATTCCATGAGTGAGTGAAAAAGAGAGTAAGGGTAGACAAAAAGTGAAAAGCAGAGGAAAGGGAATGGAAGGAGGGGGTGCCGCAGGACGGCACCGTGTCCCAGGATGGCACTGTGTCCCAGGGGAGCAGGAGCAGTCAGCAGTGAGAGAGAGCTGAGAGGTAAGAGAAGGCAGGTGAATGGAAAGGGACCTTTGGATTTGGCCAGAAGTCAAGCAAGTGTAATATGAACCTGGGTGCACAGTGTGAACTTAGATTGGGGCAGTTCCACTATCCTTTTGTTTATACTCTTCATCACTAATGATTCCAATCAAGGAGGACCTTTTTCTTAAACAGAGCCATAGTTAGTTTTGACTTTCTGCTCTGCATGGCCTGGCATCTTGGGACACTGTTTGTACTGATACTGAAGGGTTTAGTTTGTGATTTCTTGTAAACTGATTACTTAATGATTGAGGCCATATTTTTCCATTGCTCCTATTACGGGTAATGATGTTTGATATATATGATTATTTGGGAGAATGGCAAGAAAGTCACAGTAGTTGGAGAATTGAAAACCGACTTAAACGCCAATGTGAAAAATATAGACCACTTCTCCAAAATTATTTGGGAGCTTTTCGGTTGAAATTTCATTAAGTTCTGTAGTTCATGAGAGTGCTACAGAGCTATAATAATAAGCCCATGGCAATAAAGAAGCTTACTTATGCTAATAATGGGGAGATATATACACACACAAATATGCAAACACACACATATATGTATGTATAATTTTTTCTTGGGCCTTTCTTTTGGGTGCAATGTTGATAAGAATCCATATGGGGGGATGGGGAGTACATTTGAGCCTTATTAGGATGCTACTGTTTGCAAAGGATTTTTCACTTGAGTGAGATTACCTAATAGTCGTGAAAAAAGTAGCTACCGTTTATTCAGCACCTGCTTTATTCCAGACATGTTACAGTAATCCTGGGAAGGAGGTATTATTCCTAATTTAAAGTGAAGAAATTGAAGTTCAGACAGTTTAAGTAGTTTGCCTTAGATCACAGGGCTAGTAAGTAGGAGAATTCGGCCCTTTTTTACTCCAAAGCCTATGTACTTTTCAAATGTGCTGTCTGAATGAGAATCTTTAGGGTATCAGAGTGAGTTACCTATTTGGGAGGGAGCCAAGAAAGCTCCACAGAGGAAACAGAACCGCTAGATGAGCACTTTTTCAGCATCATGTCCCCTAATCTGCCTGGTTATCCATATCTGAACCTGACATTTTTCTTCTTCCTTCATGTTATGATGGACAAGGCTCTTTCCTCTAAGGACTTCCTTCTTTTTGTTCATATCTTGAATCTTTAGTCTGTGTCTCTTTCTCCCTCTCTTTCTTTACTAGCTTCTTCCCATGAGCATAAACCAGTCGCTTACCAAAGCAGATACCTTCTGTATTGGTTAGCAATTGCTGCATAACAAACCACTCCAAAACTTGGTGCAATAAAGTATCATTTAGTTAGCTCACTGTTCTGTGGGTCGACAAATTAGGCTTGGCTCAGCTGGACTCACTTAAGCATCTGTGAGCTGCTGGTCAGCTAGACAGCTTTGCTTCTGGGGCATTAGCCGGCCAGTGGCCAGGACCATCAGGGTGACTGGAGCATGTGTCTTTCATCCAGTAGGCTAGCCAGGACTTGTCCACGTGGTTGTTTGGGAGGGTTTCAAGAGAGAGCAGAAGCCTGCCAATCATCTTGAGGCCTAGATTCAAAACTCCTACAGTGTCCCTTCTTTTGCATTCTCTCAGCCAAAGCAAGTCATGAGGCCAGCCCAGGCCCAGGGGCTAGAGAGGCAGACTGCTGAATCATGGAACTCTTTTTTGTCACTAATTGCAATTCACCCTTTAAGGCCATAGTCGCATCACCAACTCAGGCTGAATCGTAGGCCTAGGGTCTGGGCTCCTTCTGTCACTGTGTTTAGAAAGTTGTATGGCAGTTGTTGGTTTACTTCTTAGTGGTAAGTGAGCTCCTTAAAAACGGACTGTGTTTCAATCCAGAATTTGGCACATAGTAGGTATCTTATGAAAGCTGAAGTTTTTGTTAAAGTATTCCAGCACTTGACACCTGGCAATGTCAAGAATAGAAGATAACATATGCTTACCTTTTAAAATTTGCTTGTTGATGTTTAAAAACTTTGGAGCAGACTCTATTTAATATATCAAAATCGAATATTTCTTTAAAAAAAGGAAGGGGATAAAGAATCCTGACCAGCATTCTGAGTAGAAATCATTATTATGTATTTGCATACTCTTTATAGGTTTTTTATTAGGTTACAAGTTTGTATATAAGGAAGACAAGTCATATTTTCATGGCATATTTGTCATAGAAAGCATACCCATCCACTAACTGGCCCATTGGGATTTAGAATAAAATTTCTGTTTTAGAATGAAAAATGAAGGAAGGATCTCAGCCAGTGTCCTGGATGTTACTCTGGAAGACACTAAAAATAAATGTTTCTGTTAGATGGGAGCTGGGATATACATAATGTAAGTTCATCCTTAAGTGAGTGTCTTATCAATGTATTAATAAGATGGATTCTTGTTTATGGATTAAATAAATAAGAATCGATGGATTCTCATGTGCGTTCTATTTTATGTTTTAGGTTCAGCTGTCTGTAAACCTCCCTGGAGTCCTAAAACCTGACCACATTTTCCTGTCACTCCGTTGATAGCTAACCATGCAGCGGAGATCAAGAGGAATTAATACTGGGCTTATTCTGCTCCTTTCTCAAATCTTCCATGTTGGGATCAACAATATTCCACCTGTCACCCTAGCAACTTTGGCTCTCAACGTCTGGCTCTTCTTGAATCCTCTGAAGCCACTGCTTAGCTCCTGCCTTAGTGTGGAGAAGTGCTACCAGCAAAAAGACTGGCAGCGCTTACTACTCTCCCCCCTCCACCATGCAGATGACTGGCATTTGTATTTCAATATGGTATCCATGCTATGGAAAGGAATAAATCTGGAAAAAAGACTAGGAAGTAGATGGTTTGCCTACATCATCGCCACATTCTCTCTACTCACTGGAGTGGTGTACCTGGTCTTGGAATTTGCTCTTGCAGAATTTATGGATGAACCTGGCTTCAGAAAGAACTGTGCTGTAGGTTTCTCAGGTAAGGCAGACAAATTTCTAAGGTAGCGTGCATGAAGACAGTAAGGGAGGTGCGACCACTGTCATTTTATGAAGAATAGGTGCCTAATTGGTGAGGAAACTGAATTCTGAGTGGTTAAGGGCTGTCAGGGCTTGGATTTTGGAGAGGAGGTTTATTGGAGCACAGGAAGGACATAGATTTTGCTATTCCGCAATATGCAGCATCATTCACTCTTTAGACTAGGGTCTGTTCAAAGATAGTTTTTTAGGAGATGTAGTACTGGAAATATGCACTGGTTCCATCATCATGGGGCCAGGGAGAGACCCATGGGTGTATATGTGATAGGGCATTCTCCAAAAAGATAAGTGTGCCTGTCAATAACTTCATTAAAATAAGTGCACCACACCCTACCGTGGCGTGCTCACCATGTTTTAGGAGCCATGATCATCACTCTAGGTAACTCATGCTATTTAATTCATATAACAGGTCTGTAGGGAGGTGGCATTGTCTTAATTTTGTAGATGAGGAAGCTAAGACTCAGAAAGGTAAGGTAACTTGCTTAAGGTTACACATCTAGTAAGTGGTAGAATTGGGCTTTGAGCCCAGTCTATGTGACTTTAACTACATGTTGCACTCTCTCTCACTTTTCCCCCTCACTAGTTCTTTTTTTTACATATATCTCATAGGACTGAAATTGCCATCAGGACTTAAATTAGGTGTTCTGAAAATTAGAATGTGAAGGGGAGGAGGGAAATAGTCCTGAAACAGAAGGAATTCCAACCCTTCTCTCAACTTTCCCTGCCATCCCTCTAACATGCATCCTCATGCACCTAATTGTGGGAGAAGAAAGGAAATATGCCCTGCCTTCAACATGTCTTTCCATAGAGGTTAGAAAAATACACATTACTGGTATTTTTTTTATTGAGTTAAAAATCAGCATAAAATTAACAATTTTGAAGTGTCCAATTCAGTGGCATTTAGTACCATTGCCAGTGTTTTATTCCCATGTTATGTGTTATATATTTAGTAGCGTACTGAAAGTCAGTTTGAACTTTGGTGTTAAGAAACATCAAAGGAATGATTGCCTTGACCGTTGTCTTTGTACCAAATACAGGGTTGACTTGTTGTAAGGAACAGAGTATGTTTCAAAGCAAAAAGTTGGATGTGATCAAAGAATCATTTTCACTTTCAATTAATTTTCTTTGCAGATGTTATTATCTTCACATTTGGGTTGTTGACATTTGTACGCTCTTGATTCTCTTTTAGGAGTTTTGTTTGCCTTGAAAGTTCTTAACAACCATTATTGCCCTGGAGGCTTTGTCAACGTTTTGGGCTTTCCTGTACCCAACAGATTTGCTTGTTGGGCAGAACTTGTGGCTATTCATTTCATCTCGCCAGGGTAAGTGTTTACTCTTAGAGAATACAAACGAAGAACCTGATGTTCCCTGGAGAAAGATTGCAATAATAATGAGGCCACCAATTGTCTTTTACAGTGAAGTTTATTCTTTAACTATAAGCATAGAATTGAGCCTAATGGTTTTAGTGTCAGACGTTCCTGAGCTTGAATCCTGTCAACTACTGAGTTGTGTGATTTTGGGGTACTTGTCTTATCTGAGTTTCAGTTCCTGACCTTTCCAGTAGGAATAAGAGAACCTGACATACAGATTTGAGGATCAATATTAACCAGCCTATTAATTAATTAATTCTAATAACAACAATCCAGAGGGGCACATGGAAACCACATAATTATAAAGATAAAAAAAATCACAGGGTACGTTGGTCCAATATTTTGAAACCATTTAGCTGTGAATTATCTTGGTCGTAGAACTCTCTACTCACAACCTCAGTATACAAAATGGATCAACTCTGTGCTGTTTTGGGTTGAGAAGAAGCATGGGGCCCCCTTCCTTTTGCCTTACCCCCAGGTCACTGTGGCTGCCTTGGAGGCACCTCCACAGAACTCGAGGGCTCCAAGGAACACAGTTTGAGAACCACTGATCTAGATGACTCCTTTCCTTTGCAGATGAGGACAAGAATTCAGGAGGTTAAGGGACTGGTCAAAAGAGCTCTCGTGGTAGACACTAGACTAGTAAGGATTCGGGGCTCCTGACTCCTGGTCTGGTGCTCCTGCCTGGAGTGCTGTTCTTTTCCACTTTTGTTCCTTTCTCTGCTTTCTGCTTAGAAAAAGGAGGGTGAATTGTGTTATTTTCCCCCCTCTTCTACCAGCTTCACTCTGTTAATCTGTATAATGCAACTGGAAGCACATGGTTTGTTTACTGTGACTATGGGGACCTGGACACTGGAGGAGGAGGAGATTCAGGAAGATTCAGGAAGAAGTAAGGTGGATTTTGTTTTTGCTGCTGTTCTTTTCAGACAGGAGTTTTTATTTTGCTTTTGGTTTGGGCGACTGTGTTGGGTGTCGTACTTCATTTGAAAATATTCTCCTCGGGCTGTATGTCAGCCCAGTAACCTTGAGGCCTTCTTTGATGCTAATTTCCCGTCATGGGCAGCCGCTGCCAGCTGGTCTGTAAAAGGTGATCATGTGGCCAGTGAACGCCACTCATTTGCAACTGTATTGTAATCTTGTGACAGTTCCATGAAGAAAACCTAACAATCTTCAAAGTTTTCTTTGAAAAAGGGTCCAGTAATGTCTGTCCGTTATCTGAACAGCCCTCTCTGTACCTTGTCACTCACAGCTCACTGACTTGGTTCTCTATGTGGCTGAGAGACTCTTATGTGTATGCTGGCAACACCCAACATTCATATGAAAATCACTCCCTCTGGTACTTGAACTTTTATTCTGTAATGAGTCCGTTGAATAGCAGTGCCTTTAATATTCTCATGCAACTATTTCTGAAGAGTCTCATCAAGCATTTTATTTTTTTAGGGTCCCCCCTCTGCATGGTAAAAGGCATGGTTGCATTTTTATGTAATATGCTTATTCTGCCTGGAGGGACCTGGGAATTAAATGAAGTTTCTTATCTTTGAAGTTTGAAAGAATAAATCTTTTGGTTTTTAAGATTTGACTACTTTGAATGATAGACTTCTAATATCCAACCATCTACTTATGCATGTGTTCAAATAAAGACCCAGCTAAACACTGGCCCAGGAAACCTAAGATGTGAGTGCCTCTTTGAGGTGGATCTTGGAAGAATGGGAGAAACCAGAGCTCTCTTTGCTCTGCATTGTTATTCTCCTGGTGGTTGTCAGTTAGAATTTTCACTGGGAAAACACTGTAAATCTTTAGAACAAAGCCTGCTTTATTGTCAGACTTAATGAGCCGCCCTTTGAGAGAAAAAAAAAAATCTGCCAAGCAAACATTTGGTGGACCTCTGTGTTTTATGAAAGCCATGGAATTAGCAATTTTACCCAGTTACAGAGTTTTATGGAGGGAAGCCACTCCAAACAGCCAGCCCTTAGGCATTGTGAGGGGTGTGGACTTGACCAGCAGAGTGAAGTAATCACTCTCATTCGCTCCTGCTTTTGCTTTTCACGGTACTTGTGTGTGCCTTGTTTCAATGATTGCTCTGCCTCACATGGTCTTGTCATTTCCCTGCATGTCCTGAGACCCTGGTACGTGATTGGGTTTGAAGAAGTGTCCCTGCACCTGATATGGCACAGGAGGGAGGTGTGCAGGCTATTCGGGAGGCTGCCTCCTCTCAGACTGGGCTCTTCTGTTAATGGAAGGAAGGGGGATCTGATGATGCTAAGTGTTATTTTCTACCCTAAATTATGAACCTCTGCAGTTTCTCATATAAGCCTAAGGCTATTTAGTCCAAAAACTGAAGCTCAGGGAAATGAACGTTATCCAGAGTATGACAGCCACTCGATGACCAGGCTAGAGGACTGTGGTCACGTGTGGGAGGCCCTGGGCTCACGTGCTAGCCGTGGGACCTCAGGCAAATCATACAGCCTCTCTGAGTCTCAGTTTTCTTATCCGTAAAATGGGAATATTACTTTCTCTGTTTCATGTCAGTTTTAAGGAGTCAAATGTAATCCGTATGAAAGTGCTTTTTAAACGATCAAGTACTTAAGTCATTATTTTTATTATGAGATAAATCACTGAAAGTGTATAATGTCCCTGAAGGGAGTCATACATGATTTCTTTTTCTTCCTAAAATGAATAAAATAAATCAAGTGTTATTTGATTTTGTTTGCCTGAGTTCTGTCTATCTCCTGCCCCTTGTTTCTACTTGACATTTTCATCCTGAATGACCGCAGTCTAAAAATTCCTGTGAGCTACTCTTGAACACGAATTAAGCAGGCCACGACTGCGTTTGGACCTTAGGAGATTCTTCAGTATGGCAGTTCTGAAAACATTTGGATGCTGCTTTATTGCTAATGTTTGAGGAGAGTAGTTACTTTCACCCTACTAAAAACTTCTTGGTGAGATTGACCAAATGAGAGAAAAATAGATTTAATATATTTTTCACTGTTCCAATTTTTTAATTGTAAAAATTTTCAAACATAAAAGTTGCTCAACTATTTGAAAATAAGTTCAAGCTTCGTGATAACTTCACCCCTAAAAACTTCACATGCGTCTCCTAAAAGTAAAGATTTTTTTTACATAACCACATTACTGCTGTCATATGAAGAAAATTAATAGTAATTCCCCAGTGTTGTCTAGTAATTGGTCCATATTCAAATTTCCTCAGTTTCCAAAATGTCTTTTGTAACTCTTTTGGAGAGGAGGGATAAGGGAGGACCGGGATCCAGTCAAGGTTCACACATTGCATTTGATTATTATATTTCTTTGTTTCTTTTTACTCTATGGCAGTCTTTCCACCTTTTTACTTTGCCGTGACATTGAAAAATAAATGTCATGGAAAAATTTTGAAGAGACTAGGTCTCTTGTTTTGTAGAATGTCTCACATTGTAGATTTCTCTGCTCGTTTCCTTAGAGAGTTATTTAACTTGTCCTTCTTGACTCTGCATTTCTGTAAACTGGAAGTTAGGTCTAAAGGCTTACTTACACACAGATTAAACTGTTTTTTTGGCAAGAATACTTCATAGGGGTGATACTATACACTCCACATTGCATCACGTCAGGAAGGACATCATGCCAGACTCTCCCTCTTGTAGGAATTCTAAGTTTAATCACTTAAGTGGTTAAGTCTCCATTGTAAGGGTATATCTATTCCTTTGCAGTTGGCAAGTAATCTGTGGGGTGGTATTTGGACGTCATGCAGATAGCTTGTTTCCAATAACCTTTTGCCTTCTGGCTTAGTAAATATCGATGGTGATCCTTGTCTGAATTGGTGATTTCAGGCGGCATTGTGAAGGACGATTTTCTGATTCTGTCGTTCCTTCTACATGTATTAGATGGGGTTAATCCAGGGGTGGAGGTTAAGACCCAAAGGCAAGCAACTGAGGAAGATGAGTTTTCTGTCAAGGGCAGATCTTAGTTTTGTGGGCTTGAAGCTGATTCAATTTTGTGGGTTCTTTTTAAGAAAAAAAAAATTAGAAACAAAAGTAAAAATTTTAAATGAGAAAAGAAAGCACAACAATTTACATATTTTTAAGAGCTGACAAATTCTATAAATATTACAAAATCCATAAAAGTAAAATATGAACTCCCTGTCACACGTCTGTAATATTTTTCGGCACAGGTTTTGCTGCATACTTTTTGATCTCTTCTTCATATGACAGTAATTCATTAACAGCATTTCTGTAGAGAGAATGGCATGGTGCATCAAAATTAATTTTTTTTTAATTAAAAGTTTAGAACAGCTTCTTTCACAACTTATGTAAATTTTTAGAATTGTTGTCTGATTTGGGAAAACCTCTATCAAAGTGTTTTTACATACGAGCTGTAAAATTGCAGGGCTTTTCACATTTTCTTGTGTGGCGACTGATGTCAAATGTTCTTTGAGTTGATTTGATTGTCATCAGTGATGATCTTTAGTTGGCATAGCATGAGCTTTATGTTTTCTTCACTGATATCAATACGTTGTGCTGAATCAGCAAGAAATTTAACTACTTTTCTAATGTTCTTACGATTCATTCCCTTTTATTAGGCGGATTACCAGAAATCCAAGAACCTATTCATTACTCTATTTACAGCTTTTGCTATGATTTGAGAATTTTTTTGTGTGAGAGCTATAAACACAAGATTTCTGATAAAGTTTATTTTGCAGGATTCTCAAAAAAAAAAAAAAAAGGAAAGCAGATGGTGTATTTATAATTGCATACACTGCGTTATTGTGTATATTCCTGACAGGAGAAATTCTGTTTAATTTCTGTTGTCACTGTGTATTAACGAGAACTGAATTCTCTGCTTACAGCTTTACGTGCTTGCTTATTACAAGAATTTTGCAGACATTGGGTTCTGACTCCAGCACAAGGACTATACTGTCTAAGCCTTAGGATGCTTGAGAGTGCTGTAGGACTTGTACTCTT